CATAGTTTTGTTATTTTTTCACCAGAAGCAGTAAATTCATGCTCTACTAGAATATGCTTCTTCTGCTTTAGTGATGAATGCATATATTTTCTGTAATTAGTCCTGTTACTACATGTTTTGACCTTTGCATCATGTTTCCTTTGTTATGGATAACTTTACCTCTTTCTTTCTGCTGATTAAATTATCTCAGCTCCTTTGAGATGGGTTTTAGTAAGAGACATAATGGCACCTCTTATGATTATCATCCTTTTTCATAATAATTGAGCCTATACATTATTTTCACATTCTGAAACAATCTAGACTCTTTTGTCTCGAAAAGTTGCTTATGCCATTAAAAAGATGTGCAGATGAACTTTCTTTCAGTTTTGACTGATGTCTCTCCTTTACTATTTTGGTCAGGTTGTACCCGGAGAGTTGACTATTGTAACTGGGGTCCCTAATTCTGGGAAGAGTGAATGGATTGATGCTCTTTTATGCAATATAAATGAGAGTGTTGGCTGGAAATTTGCGCTTTGTTCAATGGAAAACAGGGTGAGATTTTATCACAATTTTGTTCAAGAATGTATAATTGTCAACTGTTCTTTCAACTTTGAACCAAAAGAAAAAAAAAAAAAACTGTTCTTTCAACATTACTCTGTTTGGGACGGCAAAATCATCCAAATATTCCGGATCCCAAGAATGAGTGACTAAGCCTAGCGCCATACCTTACATAGATTTCTGGAGATAACTGGAGATAATTTAATATAGCTCATCGCTTTGAAGGCTTGAGTATCCTCAGATCTTTGCTTGGTAATCTGTCAAATGTGCCTGAGTATGTTTAAATTTTCTATTGTAGGTTTTAGTGCTTCAGGAAGCATCATTGCATTAAGCTGTGCTATATTCATGTTTAAAAGATTCTTGTTGCACTTATATTAGTTCTTTTTCTGCAAGCTGCCCATTTATGCAGTACTCTTGATAGCTGCCAGTTTTACTAATCTGTAGGTTCGTGAGCACGCGAGGAAACTTTTAGAGAAACACGTCAAAAAGCCATTTTTTGATTCAAAGTAAGTTTAGGAACTCTTTCTGGCTATATTTGGCACACTAGCTTCATTTAATTTCCTGGTCTATCATCTGCCTGTAACATGGCCTATATCATGGTTGAACTTGTTTTTTCATTGTGTTTGGACAATGTGGATAAAGTTTTCTTTGTGAATACATGATAAACTGTGTGTGAGCCCGTTCAGCTTTGCTGTAGCTTTTGCTGCACTGGTTGTAGTACATCAGAAACTAAGCTCACTCCAATCCTATCATATCCTTCTTTAAAACCCAACATTTCTAGAAATTTGAGTTCACTCTCTAAGAAATCAATTTCCCCATGAGAACATGTATTTTCCATGTCTCGTTAATCTAATCATACAGAAAGCAACTAATAGGAGTACTTGCCAACACTCCACGGAAGAGTTCTTTTTTTTCTCACCATATTCTGGGAAAACTGTTATAGCTATGACATGCTCAGGATATCACTGGATACAAGGTTCAAAAGATGAAATAATTTAAAAGTTTACTGAATGGGTTGTGGATTGTTATCCTTGATTAGAAGATGGCGCAAGTCCACTGCCAGTCATTGACTAGTGAAACTCAAATGGTGAAATCCATGATCAATCATCAACCATAGATCTATGTTGTGCCTGCCTCTGTGTGTCCGTGCACACTCGCGAACTGCGCGCACGCACACATACAGAGGCAAATTACTGGCAGAAAAGTGACTACTCTGGCTGTTATTTCATTTTTTGTGCCACCACGACTTTGTCTGTAGATTAAGTTGCGATTGCAGGTTGTTTGCCGTAACCAATTTGTTGCCTCAACTTGATGTCTAAATTTGGCCTAGTAGACCAAATTGTAGCCTGATTGTTGATGGTGAAGTTGACATCAAGATGGTTAACTAGAAGGACGTGGACCCCAGGGCAAACCTTGTTTGCTCGTTTTTTTTATTTGTTTTCATTCGTTATTTTTTAATTTTGGCCCAACATGCTGCAACCTACCTAATCTTTTTTATCCCTTTGGAGAAAGATTCATTACACAGGCCATATCCTGGTATATCTAGTTCTACCCAATTAAGTTTTATTATTTAATAGACGTGAAAGCTGCAGTTGCGGAAGTTGCCAAAGTATCGACTAATTGTTTTTTGAGAAGCAACTCTCAATTGCTTCGCCTTTAATCATTTGTGAGCACATAACATTTTGTCAAATGCTCTATTAAAGTCGTTGAAGTTCTTTAAAATTGTTAGAACAATCTCACAAAATGTTGGTAGTTAGAGCAAATTTTTGGTGTATAGGGGTTTGTAGCGGGAATAGTTCCCGCAAGTTGTTCATATTTTCAATAAACTCGCCTCAGAAGAAAAAAGATGATATTGATAGCTTGATGATTGAGAACATTTCCACATTAAAGTCATTGGCAGTGACAAATAGAAAGTTTTAGCACCTCCAGAAGAGTTCTTGGAGGATGTAGTGGCACTACAGTCTCTACAGCCTTTGTAGGTGTTACTGCTGTTGCTGTTGTCATAATTATCTCATAAATAAGTATCTACAACAGTATTAGTGCCTCGATTGATCAGCCATGCTGGCCATCATGTAAGATTGTTATAACCACGGTATCTGTTGATTTGGCGCTATTGGTTCTCCTGATTGCGTGCTGTAGGTTCTGTTTCCGATCCCTTGTTAACTATGTAGGTTCTCACTTTTTATTAGGTTCAATTCTTCAGTAGTCATAATTGGGTTTTGAGTTACATGTTGTTTGCAAATAAGCATTTCTTGTCCCTCATAATTTGGACTGTTCAGTTTCGTTGCCTTATGCTGTCTTATTTGTGTAACTAATTGTCCTGTAGGAAATGGTATGTCTTAAGTCAATTGTCTCGAACTCTATTTAATATAATAATTGGTAACTCTTGGAAATTACAGATACGGAGAATCTGCTGAACGAATGGCTGTTGAAGACTTTGAGCGAGGGAAACGATGGTTGAGTGATACATTTTATCTCATAAGGTGAGAAATTCAAATCCTTTCTTTTTTGGTGATAAAGTAATGTACAACAAATTGAGTGTTAGCATATTTTAACTTAAGGGCGATGCAGTGCATTCAAAAAATTTCTACTATGTTATGGTTGTATATATATGGAGAATGGTGCATTTTAACCATTTCTTTTCCTAAGAAATATTGTGTGGGTATCAACAGCATGTCTGTCTTGCTTGGTAAATGAATTTGATTTGCGTATGGAGTTACTGCAGTTAAGGCATTTCCAGATTTCAGTATTCTCAGTGCTACTTGCAGTCCTCGCTGGCAGGATGCTGTTTTTGACATTGGCATAGTTTTTCTTCATATGTTAATAGGCTCCAGTTCACCATAGAGAATCTGTAATTTTGAAATGAAAGGGGGAAAAAAGGGACTTCAAAGTTCCCGCTTCTACCAGGGATACTCCACTGCTTGGGTTCCTAGATTTTCTTGTCATTGTCTTAGCTGCTGCTGTAATTGTCCTTTCACCTTTAGTTGTCATGCATGTACTGGTCATTTCTTTCGTATCAAGGAGGCACCAACTAATACAATGGAAATACTGCTCCACATATTGGCTCATTTTACCTTCCACATCCTTGTCATCTTACACTGTAGTTCATGGATGAGAGGTGGACAGAGATACCATCCTAACATCAACAATCCTTGATTATGGCTTATGGAAACAAATTTTTTCTCTTAACATTCAACATATTTTGGAAGTGTGAAGCTGTATGGGCTTATAAATTCTTGGGATTTACTCGTGTATGGTTCTTGATGTGAAGTTTCTTGTACCAGTAATTCTGCTGCTTGGTATCAACATAGTAGCTTGATCTGAGAGAACTTGCTTTTATGAAAAATCTTATTCCGACATGCTACAAGTCAAATTTCTGTAAAGTTACAACCCAATTGATTTGCTGTGTCAAGTATGTAAATTTTGTGCCCAATAAATTGATAGAGCATCGATGACTATAGTTGTCAAAGAAGAGAGTCAGGAGACATGAATTTTAATTCATGAATCATTAACATGATTTTCTGGCTAATGTAGCTGAATGAGAGTCTCTTTGTTAATATTAGGGCTTGACAACAGATGTTCGTGGAAGATTTCCTGATATATCTAACTTTAGTGTATGTAGACATTTGCAAATTAGTCATGATTTGTTGTAAATAAGAAGTTTGTTCTATCAATGTCAAATTTATTGATTTTGTGACAAGCTGAGGTCACTTGCAGTCAGAATAGTCTATAAGATCACTTGCAAATAGTAATTGTATTGTTTTGATGTTTGACTGAAGCAAATCTTAAGTTGGAATAGATATTGATGGATCCTGATAGTCTTAAATGTGTTAATGCTGCAGATTTTTCCTGGAAATGGAAAGTAAATAATATGTTTGGTTGTTCTGGCGATTGAACAGGTGTGAGGATGACTCACTTCCAAGTATAAAGTGGGTTCTTGATCTTGCCAAGTCTGCGGTGCTAAGACATGGGGTGCGAGGATTGGTAATTGATCCTTACAACGAGCTTGACCACCAGCGTCCTTCTAGCCAGTACGTCTTATGACTTATGACTTGATTTATCTTTGTTGTATGCAACTGCTCTAAATGTCCATGTCGGTCTGTCATGGACTGCTGCTGGCTGCATACCGTCTATCTGTTCGTATTCCTTGGTGTCTCTCTCACGAAGGAAAGGAACTGAAAAGACAGTGACGCAGTTCTGCGAAAGCAAAACCACTTGTGATAAAATCACCAATTTCGAAGATTATTTTGTACTAAAGTGGCAATTTCTTTTACCACATACCATTTGAGAGTATTTATGTTGGTTAATATCTTGATGTCATACATATGAATTGGTTGCAGGACTGAAACAGAGTATGTGAGTCAGATGCTTACATTGATCAGGCGTTTTGCTCAGCATCATTCCTGCCATGTGTGGTTTGTAGCGCATCCTAGACAGGTTGGTCTCTTTAGCCTCAGCATCGTTAATTATGTCTCTTCTGCAATTCTAAATTCACTCTGCAAAACAGTTGCACAACTGGGTCGGTGAGCCGCCCAACCTCTACGATATAAGTGGGAGTGCGCATTTTATAAACAAATGTGACAATGGGATAGTCATACATCGAAATCGGGATCCAGAGGCCGGACCTGTTGATCAAGTACAGGTAAAGTTGCTTTCTGCGCTGATTGATCATCGGCATTGGGACATTTCTGTGGGCCAACCTGTCTCGAATTCTTTTTATTCTTGTAGGTTTGTGTACGGAAAGTGAGGAACAAGGTTGCGGGGACCATCGGCGATGCCTTTTTAAATTACAACAGGTTAGTGTAAACCATTTGTCTTTTATAGCGTCCCATAGTCTGTTTTGCGGTGTTTTAAAAACCGAAGCACTGATGGTCAAGTGGCCAGGGGTGCTTCGGCCGTTGCAACTGGTTGAACAGCTTGTTTGATATCAGTGCAATAACTGTTTTTGGTGTCTATGCGGACATGTTCAGTATTGCCGATTGTCAGATGTTGAATACTTATGCCATATTTATGGGAGGGTATGCATAGCTCGGTGGTTTACGCGGGGCTGGGGGTCGCCAAGGATTCGTTGGTCCCTGGTTCAAGTCCATATCTGGCTTTATTCTTTCTTAAACAGACTTTACAGACAATGTACTTTATGACTCGACTTTATGTGCTCATCTGTGATGATCAACATAGAATTTTTTGTGCCATTGGTTTGAAGGTTGATCACACCCATGTCAAACACTTTTGACTGCTCATCAGTCGAGCCCGCTGGCTTGTGCATACAGGTTGTATGTCGGTGGTCTAATTGTCGCACATCTAATGAGCAGTTTTTCTAACCCTTTTCTTCTCTCAGGGTAACCGGTGAATTCATTGACATCGACGCCGAACCGAAGAAACAATAGGATCGTATTCTTTCGCTCGCGCCTGTACAGTTTGTGAGTCGACAGCAATCTGAGCTGGTTTTTTTGTAGTTTCCCTATTCCTTCTCTCCTCTGTTCTCACTGAACTGGGTTCCTCTAAGCGTTTTCTTCTTCTTGCTTTCTTAAATCTCTGAGGGGGTTGAACTTGTGAAGTGGTGGGGCACCGATTCTTGTTTGTTTTCTGAATGATAGCCCTCTTGTGGAACCTTTCAATGAATGTCCAACGCATATAGCTATCACCAAACGTGAATCATTCTGTCACACGGCTCTCGGTGGTTGTATGATCCCTCCGCTGTCCTGGTGTTCATGGCCAACAACCGATGACGACAGGAGTTGTACAGATAATTAATTAAATGAAGATTGATCAAGAACTTTGCTGTCTCCAGCTCGTTCAATGATTGACCGATTGAAGGAGGCCTCAATCATTCTGCAGAAATTAAATTGAAATCGCGTCCAATCGGAAGGTGCCACCCTCTTCGATTCGATTGCGCGGCGTATCCACCATGTGCACCGAAAGAACTTTCCTGATCAAGGGCGTGGAATTGCAAGTAGGACAGGCGGAGAGGGGAGGGGGGTGGTAAATTGGAAGAGAAAACTTAACTTGGGGCTAGAGAGAAATTCTTGGAAGTTTAGGCCCTTTGAAAACCAATTTCCAGATTTTGTGGATGGGATCTCTAACCTGTTGAAGAAAATCATCGAACTTCAGTGATATTTACATCTTTACCCGTCTTCACTTTCTTTTTGGAAAGCTCAATTGGAGCACTCTTTTTAACTTTTTCCTAGAAATTCTAAATGCTACCTCGGAATGATAGAAAGTCTGCATTTTAGCCCCTCGTTGCAAAAAAAAACATTAGTTTACTTCAATTTAGGCTGTCTATATCTAACAATAGGACCAATGCTTATTAATTAAAGATTAGGAGGCATGTGAAATGATTCCGTTATGGTTTGACTTCTGACCGTATGAATATTTGGTTTTGCAAATTAGGTTGGCTCCTTGGATTTTGTAATCTAAGGCAAGTCGTATGCGTATCATATATTAAATTGCTTCGATGGAATCTAGCAACCTCAAAAGAATATTCTCGAGGTAAGTCTTGTATTTTAATCTAGAAGTTCGACTTCAGACACATCATCTTCAATTGCGAAAGAAAATATGAATAATGCCAGATCTATCTAAGTGGGTATTAATTCGATTCGCTTAAATTACTATAATATGCAAGTTAAGACTTAAAATGATTTCCTAGGTTTTATGTTGAATTAAATTTTCCTAGGCTTTTTTCATTTTTCTCGTAAAAGTCTTGCAGGGAGATACTCCCTGCAGACAGGAGATGACACCTTTGACACCTGCTCTTTTTTAACTTTAATTTTTTTTTGTTTGTGCCTTTTTTTCCCTCGTTACAGTATAATAATGTGCTTAAAATCGTTGTAGGGTCAACTCAACGTTGTGGGACTTATATCTACGCTGTCTGATTTGTCTCCAAGCTGTCAGTATTAGTTAAATCTTTATTGTTTTATTTCATGTGATGCGATGCTTACAAGTTTGTCGACCCAAACGGGAATATTTCATTTTTTAAAAGGTAAATACAACGAAAAAAATCTAAATTAATACACCTACTTATGATAAATTTATCTTCCATTAAATTAAATTAGTACCATAAAAAATCACTAATTGATACATTTGTGATAAATAAAGAACAAAATTGGTACATCCGTCAATTGACATATGTCATTCAACTCAGCATTTAACACTAAAATTTAACGAAAATAAATAGAGGATAAATTTTTTCACAAGTGTACAAATTATTTTGGGTAAATTTATCATACGTATATTAATTATGAGTTTTTCATTATATTAACAATTTTTTAAAATAAAAAATTTAATATGGCTCACTGAATTTGTTTAAGGAAAAGGTGACCATCTAAAATTGCGTGAAAGGTAATGAGATTTGTCTTTAATGAGATAAAGATTTACTCTTTTTTTTTCTCTCTCTCTCTCTATCTGTGGCTACTTTTTCAATGAGAATAGTGTTTCGTGTGAGTGTAGTACAAAACAATTACCGAGGCTGCCGTTCAAAATTTTTCAAATGACAATATGAAAAGACATCGGTTATATTGTCCAAACAGGGCTGCAATTGGCTGTTAAATAGTACTCATATTGGCAGCACCGTGTGTTCAAATAATTTTCAGCAATATGCCAATATCAGAAACTTGCTTAATCAAATTTTTCCTAAATGAGTCCCACAATCATGTAGGTATTCTCTTGATGTAAATGTCTTCAGCAGAAAAGTATTTTCATTGATTCTTGACGGGAATTTGTCATTTGGCTAGACAGGAAATCTTGATATGCTTTTAAGAGAAGGTTTAATACCATGAAAAACCTCAAACTGATATATCTGTAATAAATTTACCTCAAACTAATTTTTTAACCAACAAAAACTCTAAACTGATGCATCTATGAGAAATTTACCTTTCGTTAGTTTCCGTTAAATTTTACAGTCAAATTGCTTAGTTGGATGATACGTGGTAGTCGACAGGTATTCCAGTTTAGGGTTTTACCCCTTTGTTTGTTACAGATTTACCAATTTGTGATTTTTCATGGTATTAATCCAATTTAATGGAGAGTAAATTTATCACAAATGTATCGGTTTAAGAGTTTTTTGTGATTAAAAAATTAGTTTGTGGTAAATTTGCCACAGATGTATCAGTTTGTGATTTTGGTGGTCAAAAAATTAGTTCGGAATAACTTTATCACAAGTGTGAGAGTTTATGATTTTTTGTGGCATTAACCCTTAAGATAATAGACATTGGAATTGCCTGCTAAAGACTTGAGATTGATTGTTAGGACACAAATTGGCAGTAGGTGACTAGGTTCGACCTTTGAGAAATGGGGGTAGGCATCTAGGGACTCGAGTCTGACTATCAAGTGGTCAGTCCTGGTTAGGTCTGATTGTTGGCAACTAGAAATTGGCAGATGGGAAGCCGGTTTGATTGGCAATGACCTAGGTCAAGTCACCGTAAACTCATTAATCCATTCCATTAAGTACATCTGATTCTATCATAGAATAGGATAATGATGTAGTTTTAAATATTTAAATTATCGTATCACATTACAAAAGTGATCCTCCAATCTTTGAGAGCTAAGTGGGCTAAAAAATAGCAGAAATTGTTCATGTACATGCGTAGGAACTTAATAAACGCTTGGGATCTTTTCTATAAATATGAACTATCTATTATTAACTATTCATAATGAATATGGATTCATATGACTTGAATATTGAATCTAGAAAAGTAGAATTTCCAATAAATACTGGATATTAGAGAAGCTACGTAAACATCATGATGCAGAATCTTGGTATGTTTCTCAATTATATGTTTATCAATACTTAACATATACAAAATGACCGGATATCTTAATATTAATTAGATAATAAGAAATAAGATTCTCTTTTTCATTTTTGAGTTAATCAAATGACATTTTTTTCATTTTTTTTACTAATTGATTTCTATACTTTTTATATTATCACAACTATTTTTTTAACATAATTCAACCTTAACTCTTAATATGTAATAATAGGTCGCAAGGCCCCTATTAATAGCAACTTTGGAGGGGCTAGAGCCGAAGACTTCAGCAATAACCTTGGATCCAAAATCTCAATAGTCAAGGCAAACCTGTTAAGCCGAAAGAAAAAGGAGGTAATGGAAGATAATTTTTTTTTGTCGGATCAAATGCAACGTCAAAAATTACTAATCCTCCTTGTTTCTCAATAGTATAAAGTTCGGAATTGTAGTACGATGAATTTGAGATGGCTAAACTAAATTAGTACGAAGCAAGAACTCAACAAATCGTAACATATCTCGACCCCCACTCCAAACTCGGGATGGATATTAAATAGAATCTCAATGCCCTCCAAATCACGCACATGGAGATCCGAAAACCACCTAAAACTTTATCCTTTTTTTTTTATCGTTCGAATTCTTTAGATAAGTGAATGTATCAACAAAATAACTTAAACGAATAGTAACACAAACACTCAGAACTTTCATATGCCCACTGAATAAACCTCAAACTCGTTCCAAACCTCTAGGAATCAGGATACTGTAAAATTAAAACCTAAAATTATCCGGCAACTCGATTACAACTACAGAGGGTTTGAATGGATTAGGGTCCCGATTCAACTCGACTTTTATCACGAGAGATCGAAGGCGCTAGTTAAGCAACTAAAGAAGAGAAATTTTACGTTTTCCGATGTACTGATGTTCCATCAATATGGTGTGGGTCCATGACATGATTGTTCTCACGCTTTGCTTGCTTTTGCTGGCCTCCAGGCTAGCAAAAGCAAAGACAAAACAACGTAGGAAGAGGAGGGGGGACAGAGAGAGAGACAGAGAGAGAATCCCAAGCAAAGCCCCAACGGCTCCTACGAACGTGAGGTGGATCCAGGTATGTGACCGTTGCTTAGGGTTTATTCCCTTGTCCCTTTCTCTTTCTCCGCACCGTTCTTGAACTTCCTCTTCCTATATAATCTATAACTGCCAATCTCCGGACAAGAAGCCCCAACACATCCCCACACAGAAGAGAGAGAGAGAGGAGAGTGTTCTTCTGTTCCCTCTCTTCCGTTGGAGCTTTCAACTTTGTGGTCACCCTTTTGAGTTTGAGGTTTCAAGAATTCATCATCCGCCATGACTGTTGAGCATGTAGCTGCTACCCAGATGGCCGCTGATGTTGTGGCCCCTCAGGATGAGGCCAAGAAGGTGGTGGAGGAGACCAAGGAGGTGATCGATCAATGCCACCAGGCGGCGAGGGTGCCGGAGGACGAGGCCGCGGCCGAGCCCAAGGCCGTCGAGAAGAGCTCTTCGTACCGGGAGGAGAGCTATTTCCTCTCTGACCTCAAGGAGTGCGAGAGGAAGGCCCTGAGCGAGCTCCGGTCCAAGCTCGAGGACGCCATCCTCGGGAACGCTCTCTTCGAGAAGCCCGAGGAGAAGAAGAAGAGCAAGAAGGAGGAGGCGCCCTGCGATGAGAATGCCGAGAAGGAAAAGGAGGCCGAGAAAGCGCCCTGCGATGAAGAGGCCGAGAAGGAGGAGGGCGGCGGCGACGGCGAGGAGGCGAAACAGGAGGAGGAGAAGAAAGAAGAGGAGGAGGGAAAATGTGTCGAGGTGGACAGGGAGATCGCTCTCTGGGGAGTCCCGCTCCTTCCGAGCAAAGGTGCGGAGGAGACCAATGTGGTCCTGTTGAAGTTCTTGAGGGCCAGAGAGTTCAAGGTGAATGAGGCCTTCGAGATGCTCAAGAAGACCCTCCGGTGGAGGAAGGAGTCCGGCGCGGATGCGGCCCTCGGCGAGGGGTTCGACCCCGAGTTGAGCTCGGCCGCGTACTGGGACGGGAGCGACCGCGAAGGGCACCCCGTGTGCTACAACGTCTACGGGGTGTTCAGGGATGAGGGGCTCTACCGGAAGGCGTTCGGGACCGAGGAGAACCGCGACCGGTTCTTGAGATGGAGGGTCCAGCTGATGGAGCAGGGCATCAAGAAGCTCGACATGAAGCCCGGCGGCGTCTCCTCGATGCTCCAGATCAACGATCTGAAGAACTCACCTGGGCCGACGAAGAAGGATCTCCGGATCACAACCCAGCGCGCCATCGACCTCTTGCAGGACAATTATCCGGAGCTCGTGGCGAGGAATGTAAGTTTTCCCTATCTTTCCACCTGCTCATAGGCCTCTTTCTATCTGGAATTCGTGTCGAGATGTGTAATGTGTTTCATGTTGTGGCAGATATTCATACATGTTCCGTTCTGGTACTATGCACTCAATGCCCTCGTCTCCCCTTTCCTAACCCAAAGAACCAAGAGCAAATTCGTCGTCGCTCGCCCTGGCAAGGTCACCAAAACCTTGCTCAAGTAAGTATTTCTGTCCACCCATACCAATTTGAATGACATTTCATAAGAGAATTAATTACCTGAGTGTGTGCCTAAAATGTTTTTCTGATTGTTTCAAAAGAAGCTGAGATCCTAATCCTAAAAGCTCGAAATCACGTACAAGACCTTTGATTCCATAACCTTTGATTCTATAAGAAACTGGAATCATATAGAACCTGTGCTTCTGTCTCCAGGTACATCCCGGCTGCGGAGTTACCGGTTCAGTACGGCGGATTCAAGAGAGAGAAGGATTTCGAGTTCTCGAGCGAGGATGGTTCCGTGTCTGAGCTCACCGTTAAAGCTGGATCGACCGAAACCATCGAGCTACCGATCGAAGAGGTAATCTTTGCCTCTTGTTCTAATGATTTTACATGTTCTTCTTGTCGGCAAGTCAAATCTACCAAAAACAACTCCTCATTTTATCAGAGTGCCGCTCATTAATGAGTTGACTGATATGCAACAGACGGGAAGCACATTGCTTTGGGACCTCACAGTGATGGGCTGGGAGGTGAGCTACAAGGAAGAGTTCGTGCCTAGTGATGAGGGGTCATACACAGTAATTGTTCGGAAGGGAAAGAAGATGGCACCGAACCAAGGACCAATCCGCAACACTTTCCGGAACAACGAGCCCGGGAAGGTCGTTCTCACAATCGAGAACGTTTCAACCAAGAAGAAGAGGATTCTGTACCGGTACAAGAACAAGAAATGCTCCAGCTTCTGAGGTTGGCAAGACTAGGTGGTGATGATTGTCACATGTTTTGGTTTCAAAGAGAATTTGTTATGTACTTAATTTTTTGGTTTGGAATTTGATGAGGGGAGTGATTCCTACAGTGAGATTAGAGAACAAAAGAGGTGGTCCTTTAAAGCTTTTTTGATTTCTTGGTTCTTTTATAGTTGCCAGATTCAAGTTTGCAATTATTGGTGGGTGTCTATAGTGCTATTGAAGTTTCCATTCTTTTGCAAGACTGAAATAATCTTGACTTTATATTTTTCTTGAAGATGAAGATCACATATTTGACATCTTTGGATAAATTCCAGCCTGTTTGTTGTAGTCATCATCCTATGAACTCCTAATTCTTTTTCTTGGTCCTCGGTGCTAATTAGACACTTGTACCAATGCCAGCCACCGTGCGACCTACACCAAGTCGGACGACGGTTCGTCCGGCAACCCATGCCGCGAGCTTTGGTGAGGCCAGCAGCCTTGGTCTCGGTGAGGGTCATGACGGGGGAGGGTGTAAACCTTGCCTAGTACAGTGGTGACCGGAGTATCTTGTTCATCGCTTTTATTTCGTCTAGAGCTGAAACGCAACCTATGATTGACATTTGCTGATGGTGTGCAGTGTCAAAAGAAGCTCTTTGTTCAAAACATGACCAGTAAGGGAGGACTAAGTAATCCGAACCGTATGACCGTCGTTACCCGGTTAGATCACTCGATCCATGATAGACTAAGTCGATACACGAATTTGTGGCTCCATTGATGGTGTATATGAACAAAGAAGAACAATCAGTTCAGGAAGCGAGCGTTGGCCTTTTCAGCATCGTATAGGGTTATTCTGTCGAAAAAACCTCACTACCAGCTTAAATTAAGAGAACTTATGTAAGTAAAGTTATGTTCAACGAGAGTGGTATGGAAAACTAATGTCGTAAATGATAAAATTCGCCAAAAATCTCAGTGAACAAATCATGTTTAAGAGGATGCAAAGGTTATCTGCTTTACCATCCATTAGATTCAATTGGGGAACCGATTGAACCGGTTCCTTGGTGAAATGGGTTAATTTCCGAGTAGAATCAATTTCGAACCATCTCCATGTCTTATGATAATTACACTGGAAGTCCTAAAACTTATCAAAAAAGTGCAATTAAGTCCTAAAACTTTAAAAAAGTGAAATGAAATCCCGAAAACTAACATTAGAGACAATTAGATATTTCAAAACATAGCCCACTAAAGCCCAACCAGAACGAGCAAAACCCTAAAAATCTATTCCTTCTTTTCATCGCACACTCTCTCCTCTCCATCTCATCTCATGCCAGGCGAATTACATTTTGTCCCTCGGATTTTGGCATTTGTTTGTAAACTACACCTTGACATTTCAATTTTAGCAATTTCCCCGGTGAAGTCTTGAAATCGGTTGCAAATGCCTCTCCTGGCGTTTTGAATACGATCATTTTTAAGTTGGTGCTCCTTGTATGTGCTTGTCACGTGACTAATTCGCTCTCTTATCCAACACCAAGTCAGATGACGTGCAACCAATGCTAGCCACCGTGCAACCAACACCAAGTCAGGCGACGGCTTGGCAATTCATGCCTGTCTTTGGCGACGGGAGCATTTCGTTACCAACTTTGTAATTGCCATCGTCTGTGTTCCGCCAAGAGCTGAAACACATGGTCTCTGATTAGGCATGGCGACTGCGCGAGTCATCTTGATTGCAATGACAAATGCCACCTCTCGCTTGCTGTCTAGGATGCCATTTTCACTTCAGCAAGGTTGTCATAGTAGTCTCTCTCTCTCTCTCTCTCTCTCTCTCTCTCTCTCTCTCTCTCTCTCTCTCTCTCTCTCTGGGCAGAAGATAGGGAAGCTGGCCTCGCATGAGCGCAGCGTGCGTCACCGGACTGTCATTGGACTTGGCATGGGTCACTGGTTTTACGAAAGTTCAAGAACCGATGATACTTTATTTTTGGATGAGGAAACATTCTTTGAATACAGCGACGAATGCTGGCTTTGCTCATTCAACCTTAACTGGGTATTCGACATTGCTAATGGAGTGCGTACTCAGAAGAACTTCCTTGTTCAAACTTCAAAGCATGACTCTTACAATGTTTAAGCTCAGCAAGGGAGGAATAAGTAAAATCTGAATTGCATGCCTTCAAATTTACAAGGTTTTAGATCCCTCAATTCATGAGGGACTAAGTCGAGTAACGAATTCGATAGTGCATGGAAAGAAAGACGATTAATTAGTTTAGGAAGAGAACGTTAAATTTTTTAGGGTTATGCAGGACTTTATCGTTAAAGAACCTTGCTACCAGCTTTAAATTGAAAGAACTTGCTTTACATGAACAAAGTTATGATGGGTTAGACCGATATATAAAATTCATGTAATCAATGGTAAAGTCTGCCAAAAATCTCTTTGAATGGTTAATCATATTTAAGAGTAGGGAAAATGACATAAACAGTCTATGAACTTTGACCCAATGTGCAATGTGATCCATGAATTTTCAAATTATTCAATGTGGTCCTTAAATTCTTGATACATGTTCAATTTAGTCCCTGGACGGTATGATAATGTTCAATGTTGTCCCTGAACTTGAATTAATAGAAGGACAACATTGAACATTTTCGTATAATTCAGGGACTAATTTGAACAAGTACTAAAAGTTTAGGGACCATATTGAATAAGTTAAAAGTTCAGGGACAACATTGTACATTGGGTCAAAGTTCAAGGACTACATTAAACAAATTAAAAGTTCATGGTCCACATTACACATTGAACCAAAGTTTATAGACTATTTATGTCATTATCCCTTACGAGTATGCTAAGATTATTTGTGTCCATATATCCATTAGATTCAACTCCTAAATCGATTGAATCGGCCAATCCTAGTTCTTTGGTTAACTGTGTTATTTGCTTGGTAGAACCGATTTTGAACCGTTTATGTCATGTTTAATTATGTATGGTTTGGAGGGGATTCACAACCTGGTATCCAACCTAGTTTGTTAATGACCAAACTAGTCCAGATACTTTGATATGTGATGTGGTCCCAAAAAAGTATGACATTCAATTAAATCATTTGATACGTAGGCTGTGTTTGTTTTGCGAAACATGAATGATTTGAAAAACATATTCTTAAAAATAATCTCTTGTATCATTTACAAAAATAAAAGAACGAAAGACATTTCATATCCACGAAAATGTTTTAGATGTAAATTGTTATCGATTGACTAATTATTTCAAGTGATACAAATATTTTTTTTGAAAAATAATTTTCAAATTATTCATTTTTTGGCGAGACAAATGGAGCCGTGGCCCATTAAACCACACCCCAAGCAAACAAAACCCTCAAAATATGTTCGTTTGCTTCACCAAACGCCCTATCCTCTTTTCTCACGCCGGGCAAATTTGCATTCCTTCTCTAAAAATTTGCCATTTGTTGTAAGTTATCCCTTGATTTTTCAATTTTACCAATTTGCGCATTGAAGTCTTGGAATCGGTTGCAATGTCACCCCTGCAATTGGCCATCATTTTTTGGTTGGACTTTCGGGCGTGTACTTGTCACTTAATTGTCTTCGTTCTGTTATGGAGGGCAAAGTTGTCCTATAATAAATGGTGAAAAAATTTTACCCCCTAGTTTTGGTACATGTGGCAGGTAACCTCCAATTTTTCACTTTTTTCAATGTTACCCCTAGAGTAATTAAAGGAGTTTCAAAGCCATTTTGACGTCGAATCATGGCCAATTTTTTGATCTAGTCTCCCCAAAGATCGACTTAGGCTACACAAAACTTTAAATTAGTACATTTATGACAATTTTACTCCAAATTAATTTTTTTACAATAAAAAATCTCAAACTGTTACACTTATGATAAATTTATCCCGAACTATTTTTTTTACCACAAAAAACCCCACACTGATACACGTGTGACAATTTTACCTTGAACTAATTTTTTGACCACTAAAAATCCTACATTGGTACACGTGTGACAATTTTATCCTGAACTAATTTTTTGACCACCAAAAACCCCAAACTGGTACACCTGTGACAATTTTATCCTTCGTTAATATCCGATAAATTGGATTAATATCTCGAAAAATGATAAATTGGTAAACTTGTGACAAACAGAGGGATAAAACCCTCAACTGGTACATCCGTCAACTACCACGCGTCATCAAACTTAGCAATCTAACAATAAAATTTAACGGAAACTAACATAGGGTAAATTTATCATAGGTGCACCAGTTTGGGATTTTTAGTGGTCAAAAAATTAGTTCGGGGTAAAATTATCACAGATGTACCAGTTTGAAAATTTTGGTGGTAAAAAAACTAGTTCAAGGTAAAATTGTCACAGGTGTACCAGTTTGAGATTTTTGTGATAAAAAAAATAATTCAAAATAAAATTGTCATAGATGTATTAGTTTGGGGTTTTTTAATGGTATTAATCCGTCTGGTGATGCATATAGTTGTAGTGTACTGTCTACTAGTGGTGCGGCTACCACGCGCTAGACCGCTTCTCCCTGGCTGTAAGACGTTCTCCTTTTTTTTCTTATTTAAATACGTCTTTTCCAATTGTTATTAGTAATAGAGATTATAAAATTTTTTCTTCTGATTAATATAATATTTTGTTCACAAACTAATTCTAAGAAGTTAATTAATTATAATAATTTGGTGTTATAACTATAAATCTTGACAGTTTGTCACATCGCATTAGCCTTTGATACTCATATTATACTTCTTGTAAAGTGATGTTAGTATGAGGGCATCATAGCAAAACAATTGACTTATAGAGTAAACACGTTGATTTGTACTAATAAACAAATTGTGTATCTTGTAATGATTTTTCACCGCATTTCATCATTTGCTTTATGCCTTACCCTATGTTGCAAGCCCTAAGAGGTCATTTCCTGAGAATGATATACATCTTTTGTAAAGTATGGGCTAGATTGAAAAACTTTACTAAAAGTATAGACCTTTTATGAAAATCGGCCACAGTCAACACTAGGGTATATTACCCCCAATTTCAAGGCTTTAGGGAGGAAATTGCAAATATTAAAAAGTCAGCAGGCAACTTATAATGAGTGCCTAAACTTGAGGGGTAAAATGCAATTCCACTCTTATTTCTTGCATAGATTTTCCCTTAGTAAGCTTGCCGCACCATCTCAAAGCCGCGCTGCTTGGCTGTCGCGGCCGCCTTGTCTTGCCGTCGCGGACCAGAGGCTACTTCGGTGAGAATTCATTAGCAATCAACAGTTACACATATACAGTAAGGTGAATAATGTCGAAGTAAACTGTAATTTTACTTGAGCATGGCTGCATTATCCTAGTGAATAATCTCGAGGGAATGGATAGACCTTATTTTCTTGCTCGTCGAGGAAATTTAATCGAATGCACGTGGAGAGCGACCTGGGGAGGCATGGTACTTTAGTTTTTAGACTATTTGAATAAAGTTCATTAAATTGAGATTCCTGTATAGGTTGGAATGGTGAATAAAATGCCTTTCTTCTTGGACCACCAAAGCAAGATTCTCCTCCCCAAAGAAATTCATCAGCATTTGATTCAGCATGGTGGAACTCTCTAATAATTGTGGCAAGAGATAACCTCTTAACCTTAATCAGGAGCTTCCCATGAATCCTTTGTTTCGATTAAGAAGTAACCTCACAAAAAAAAAGGGAATTTTCACTCTTACAACCTTTGTGGCTTGTCTGTTTGATATACAACGATAATGAGCTTCACGGATGCGTTATTTATTTTAACGTGCCAGTGCACACACGCCTTATATCCTCAATTTCTCTTGTATCTTTTTCTTTCTCAAGAAGAGGAAATACCCTCCAGATATTTTACATTCAGGTGATCTCGAGATCCAGATGAAGACGTAGATGAAACCTTTAAAGGACTTACTTAAATCCGTATAAGTGCCTTTCTTCTTGGACAACCAAAGCAAGAGTCTCCTCCCCCAAAGAAATTCATCATCATTTGATTCAGCAAGGTGGAACTCTCTAATAAATTATCGCTGCATAAGCGGTTTAGCTGCTAAGATTCTGTACAATTAGTACAGAAGGACTCTTACAGACATGCTGACCAGTGACCATGTAGGCAAATTCGATTTCTTTTGATCTTTGAAGATTTCGAAAGTAAGATTTTCCTCCGTTCGCAAAAAACCCGGACGAGGATGTCATCTCGAACCCGGTCGAGGATGTCATTTCGCCGGCGTGACGATGGATCGATCGAGAAACCGACTCGAGAAAAACCCGCCTGAGGATGTCGTCTCGCCGGCTCGATGGCGGATCGATCGAGGAACCCGACCCGAGACCGACCGATTGGGGTTTCAAGAGTGGTAACCAAAGACACCAGGGTCCAACCAGGTATGTTCCTGATACCGTTCGACCATAGGAAAGTGATGCAAGAACAAGAGGGCTAGTAGTGACACTGCTGACACCTTCCAGCACACCGCAGCAGTTAGCCATGATGACGACACCGCCGTCGCCATCGACCCCTGTCTCTCCTCTGCTTCTCCTCCTCCTCCTCCTCCTCTTCGTCTTCGTCTCGTCCTCGCCCTCTTCCTCTGCTTCGCTCTACGACACCTTCCTCCACTGCCTCGTCAACCACACGCAGACACTTGAACAGCAGCAGCAGCCGCAAGAACCCTCCCGAATCCTCCATGCCCCGACCAACTCCTCGTACCCGACCCTCCTCGGGTCTCTCGTCCGCAACCGCCGCTTCAACACCTCGTCGACCCCGAAGCCCCAGCTCATCCTCACCCCCTCCCGCCCGTCCCACGTCCAGTCTGCCGTCCTCTGCACCAGAGGAACCGGCACGCAGCTCCGAATCCGGAGCGGCGGGCACGACTACGAAGGTACCTCCTACGTCTCCCGTGCCCCTTTCTTGATTCTGGACATGTTTAATTTTCGGTCCGTCGATGTCGATGTCAAACAAGCGACCGCTTGGGTCGGAACCGGAGCGACTCTTGGGGAATTGTACTATAGGATTTGGGAAAAGAGTGGTCTTTATGGGTTTAATGCTGGGGTTTGCCCAACTGTCGGTGTCGGTGGGCATTTGAGCTGTGGCGGATACGGGAACATGTTGCGGAAATTCGGGTTGGCGAGCGATAGCGTGGTCGATGCACAGATTGTGGATGTCGAGGGTAGAGTTCTTGATAGGAGCTCAATGGGCGAGGATTTGTTTTGGGCTATTAGAGGTGGAGGTGGGGCGAGTTTTGGAGTGATATTGGGTTATAAAGTGAAGCTTGTCCCTGTTCCGAAAGTGGTTACTGTTTTTAGAGTGGGGAGGACTATTGAGGAAAACGCGACTGAGCTCGTGTATCAGTGGCAGAACATTGCGCCGAGGACTGATAATGATTTGTTCATGAGGCTTTTGCTTCAGCCTGTCAGTTCCAAGAGACAAAAGGGAGCTAAAACAGTTAATGCCTCTGTTTTGGCTCTGTTTCTTGGAAATGCGGATAGGCTGGTTTCAATGGTTAATGAGGAGTTTCCGGAGTTGGGTTTGAGGAAAGAGGATTGTGCAGAGATGAGCTGGATTGAATCGGTTCTCTGGTGGGGGAACTTCAATAGAGGTACGGCTGTGGAAACTCTGCTAGACCGAATGCCTAAGTCGGTGAGTTTCTTGAAGAGGAAATCAGATTATGTGCAGGAACCGATGTCAAGGGAGGAATTGGAGTTGCTTTGGGATAAGTTGATTGAATTGGGAAAGGTCGGATTTGTGTTCAATCCGTATGGAGGAAAAATGGGCAAAATCCCTGTGTCAGACACTCCATTTCCTCATCGAGCTGGGAATCTGTTTAAAATACAGTACTCGATCAGTTGGAGTGAAGATGGAATTGAAGCGGAGCAGAGTAATCTGGCTAAAGCAAGAGAGCTTTACAATTTTATGACTCCGTATGTGTCGAAAAACCCACGAAGGGCTTTTTTGAACTATAGGGACCTCGATATTGGGATAACTGATAACGGCGAAAATAGCTACGAGGAAGGCAGTGTGTATGGGGTGAAGTACTTTGCTGAAAACTTTAATAGATTGGTGAAAGTTAAAACTGCAGTTGATCAGCAGAACTTCTTCAGGAATGAGCAAAGTATTCCTGTTCTTCCAAGTAAGGCTTTGAACATGAGTTTACAGTTAAACTAATGAGTTTGTTTGTTTAGTGGTGCTTTTGAAATTGCATGTCCTCAAGAGGTATATTAATTATAATTATTTTTTGATTTAGTCCTGTTCTTCCGAGTGAAGGTTTAATTGTAAACTTAAACTAATAAGTTTGGTTGGATTACTGGCGCCAGTTTAATGGTAACTGCTGTCCTCTAGAGGTATATTACATGCACTTTCTAATATTTCTGTGAGGAGTTGATTTTATCTTATGATGGGTAGTTTGCTGTGAGTAGACAGGTTTGTGCAGGATTTTATTGCCAATGGCTAATTCTAAGGTTCTTCCTCTTGCTTGTTCACAAATAAATGATCCAAATGAAACAACAGCTAATTTCAGAACTTTTTTTGAATTCTAACTCGTCTCTTTGAGCATTCCCACGTTTCCTTTAACCAGAATTATGCTGAACGTGCATAATGTTTAAAATATTTGTCTTTTGCCATTGAATCTTTTTGGTTCTCAACTACTATATTTCAATACTTGCTATACCGTTCTTCTTAGTCATGAACAAATGCACCCATATGAAGATTTTTTCATTGGTTCGCTCATTCAATTTTCCTGCAGGATCCTCCTCGGCCATGACTCAGTATTCAGGGTCAACAGAGACAACTAGAAAAGTGATGGTATTGGTCATCCTCGCCCTCTTTCTGAAGGATCTCATGACCATCTATTCCTAGAAATGAGGGCCAGTGTCTTCTTGAGGAATGTTAGACTTCCTCAGCTTCCTCTTCGGAAGGAAGAAGGAAAATGATAATGCTCCATCTTGTGCTGTCAGTTGGAATTTATTAGTTGGCTACTGATACTTGTAAGGAAGAGGTAATCACGTCTTCTTTCATGTAATGTCAAACTTGTCGTAATTGGATGACATGCATGATTTGCCAAAACACAGGTAATTTTGCAAATGTTTGCCAAATCAAAAAAGTAGCATACTGCTTTCTGTCCCTGCCAAAGAAGAAAGTAGTGTATTGCAATTTCAGGTACTGTATATTGAAAGGACTTGATTGTACTTTTAAAAAAATATTTTTGGGACTTAATTAAACCAATTGAAAAGTCTAAGACTTGATTGCATTATGTATAAAAGGTTTAGGACTTTTGGTGCACTTTTTCTGAAAATTCTTTAGCGACTGATTGTGTTGGATGTAGGATACATCTGATGCGAGACTTAGCTGCTCTTATTGATTGCTCATGGTGGGGGAACTCTAGTAGATTAGAATCCCGGGAGGACAAGGAGGAATTGAAGTCTGTGGCAGAATGTTACTTAATGGCAATTGTTGATTGCTGCCTGTGGAGGAACTCTGCAAGATTGATTCATCAGGAGGACAAAGTAGGGTTTGAGGTTTGTGGCCAAATATTGCTCAGTATGGTTTTCGTTATAGAAAAGAGGGAGAAAGGATTCTGTTATCGATCATAATTAATCCATTGTTGTGAGTTTACCTAAAGAAGATACTAAGGAATGAAAGGAAAGAAAGATTCTGCATCTAATTTGGTTACAGATACAGAACAGACCAATTATATTTTTCAAAACTTGGATTATAATGTCAATTGGGGGCAACCAATAATAATCTAGATACAATTATGAATCAATTTAAGGTTATATGTGGACAAACTAATGTGAAGTTCAAAGTCCAACCTATTCTAACCTATAACACAAAACTTTATTCAGAAATTCAACTTATATTTGTGAGTTCAATGAGCATGCTCTCATTCCATTTAGATATCGTTGTATCATGGAATGAAGTGCAACCGGTTGACCTTTCACAGCAGACATCTTCATATCATTCTTCGCTTGTAGAGCGGATAATGCTGCGTGATGGTTTCTCTTGATCTCCTCCAACTTTCTCTCATCGTCCTCTAACTTCTCTAGGAGGTGGCGCACTTCATCATCGTTTCTAGATTGCCCGTACCTATGTGATGTTGAGAGTAGTACAGAAATAACACCAAGTCCATACTGATCCTCTTCGATCAAGTCCCTTTGACACTCTTTTGGATAGAAGATGACCCCAAAGAGACAACGGATTGAAGTCGTTCTTATATAAAAGCAGTTGCTTTATTTATTAAATATTATAAGCCCAGAGAAATATTAGATTTTGAAAGCTAGAAAAATGATGAATATACATATATCAAAGGGAACAAACAAAAAAGTTACTTTAGTTAGACACTTGGACTGGTCTGCAGTTGATTGATCTACAGATCAGTCCTGTTTTTCGACTGGTTTGAACTGATTTGTAAGATCAGTGCAGTTTTATGGCAATGCCGACCAGTCCATGTGTGTGGATAAGCCAATTGCTTGTCTGGTCTTCTCTTTGATGTCTGTACCTTCAACATTTGTCTAGCCTTCGGATCTCATGTTTTATTATGGCTTATTATATGTATAGAATAAAGCAACTGCTTTAGTATAAGAACCACATGAATCGAGGGAGTCTTTGGATTTATCTTCTGTTAATTACTACTGTCTGCAAATTGTTGATGGAAGAGGATCAGTATGGAAGAGTGGCAGATTATGGGTTTGGTGTCACTTCTACATGACTCTCAACATCACAAACGTACAGATGATCTAGAAATGATGATGAAGTACACCGCACCTAAGAGAAGTCAGAGGAGAATGAGAGAAAGTTGGAGGTGAACAAGAGAAACCATCAAGTGACGTTATTCGCTCTGCTGTGAAAGGTCAATTGAATGCACTTCATTCCGTAATACAACACCTTAATGGGATGAGAGGATGCTCATTGGACTTATATGTATAGGTCAAATTTCTAAGTAGAGTTATATATACTAGGATGTAATAGGTTGGGTTTTTGAACTTCACACGAGTTGTGGACTCATTTCCTTAAATTGATCCATACTTGTCTTCTTGATGATTATTTGTTGCCCCTATTCACATGATATTATTATTTGGTTTATACAGTTTGATTCGGCTAGTCAAAATCCTAATGACACCGTCTAACTATTTGGAAGAAAATGTCGGTGGTGAATAAGAAGATTGTGCAGTCTTGGTGTTCTGTGTCTATCTGATGAAATGCTATTGCTTATATTAAATTCCTTTTGGTTGATGTTATTTTGTAGTCAAATATTAATGCTGTGGACCAAATGTTATAATAGATAACTACATTAGAACCTAACTGTTGGCACCATTTACATTTGAATACATTTTGGGATATTTCTTAGCTTTATCGTATTATCAGTTGTTATTCATTCGCGTCATTTGGACTATAACTAAATTCTTTTATGGATGGTGGTGGAATATATCTCGAGTTCATTATGACGACAGGGATTGGTCCCTTCCGTGGGGTCATATGTGACATCCTGAAATTTGCCCATTTGGGATTTATGAAATGCTTGGTTTTATGAACGTACTTGTAGTTAGTTCTCGCCCGGAACTGATCATTCCCGGGATACTAACCATTAGGGAAATGCTCATTAGGGATTTAAATTCGTGCTACTAAAGAAAATTCGATCGTGAATTGATTTTCGACCATAGAATCATTGAGGTGACATTTTGAGCCAATGTAGGCCGATCTTAGGGTAGTTATGGGTCGATTCGTCACTGTTATATGAGTGGATCACGGGTGATTCTGTTTGGCCACGAAATGAATTGACGAATGATCCAGAATCTATACCGAACGATCGTGCCCGACGGAACTAGATCGAACCTCGCGATTACACGATAACCGAAGTCGTCACGAACTGAATGAACTTGCACGTGACTTGATTTATTATCAGTTACGGGTCGAATATGCGAATTTCCCCAAAAGCCGCCCGTTAGTTTGAGAAACGCTTGAGTTTTGTTAAATAAAATTCAATTATTAATTAGAGCGCAAATTGGACATCGGAAAATTAGGAAGTCACGACGGGACGTTAGGATGACGTTGTGGTTGGAACGTACAATTTTGGATTTTCCCGAATCCTTCAGAAAAATTCAATTTCGGCAAGAAAATGGAAAAGTGACCATTTTACCCTTGGAGGTTTATAAAGGGCAAGTGTTAAAGGGGAAGGGCATTTTGGTTATTTTGCCCTAATTTTTGAGTTGGACAATTTTTTGGAATTTTATGAAATTCCCAAATTGCCCTTGGATATTTTTGGAAAGATGTGATCCGGGCCGTCGATTTCAAGATAAGATCGAATCTCGACCGTCGATTTGATTTGTGAGACAAGGGCAAGATGGTCAATTGCCCCTCAATTATTACTTTGGATTATTTAAAGCCCAAAATCCTCTCTCTCTCTCTCCTCATTCTCTCTTTCACCTCACTCGGCTAACTCTCTCTCCTCTCCCCCTCCCTCACCGAGAGCTCTCTCTCTCCCCCTTGGCCGCCGTCCACCGCGCCGTCGCCGCTCCGGCCACCGATCACCGCGCCACCACCGTCCCCCCCTCACCCTCTCGGTTCTCTCTCTCTCTTTCCCTCTCCCGTGGTCGTGAGGAACCGGCCCAAGCCGCCGTCGCCGCCGGACGCCGTCCAGCCCACCCGCCGCCGCCGAGCCACTCGCTGCCGCTCACCGTTGACCGCCGCTCGTTTTCCGCTCTAACCGAGTTAGTCTAGAGTTTGGTAAGCCACGCCCTAAACTTTATTTAGGACTTCGAGTATCAACGGATAAATTAGAGGTGGAATCGGATTTAATTAGACGCGATTTTTGGCTGAATTAGGGGCTGTTTTGGATTTAATTTAGTGGATCGGTTTGAGGATTGATATGGGCTGATTTGAGGTTGAAATTGTGACATTTCGAGGCTGATTTGATGCTGGATCAATTGCTGGAAATTGAGACTCGTTTTGGCGAGCATATGGTCCGATTTGGAGACAAATTGTGTCGGTTTGGTTGATTGTGGTGTGGCTGGTTGGTAGGGCTTAATATGGCTTAAAATGAGTTTGGAAATGTTGAGTTTGTGGCTGTGATGGTGGCCGTGTTTGTGGGCCCATGAGCGGTCTTACATGTTTGTTGCATCGAGAATTGATTGATTGAAATATGCTTTGTTATGTGCACGCTCGGGCCAAATTGAATTAATTGTCAATTGGCCGTGTTGAATCTTATTGAGCATGAGAAATGTGTGAATTGGTGCGTACACGGACCACGTGTGATTGGCCAATTTGTTGGCAAGCGGGTGTTGAGCATGTGAATGAACGAGAAATCGTGTGGTGTGGTATGTGTGATTGCGGAAATCCCTGAGGCGGTACCATTACGCGGGGAATTGATCCGTCCTGAGGCGGTACGACTACGCGGGACGATGCTCGGTATTACCGGAGGACGGCCAACCTGAGGCGGTACTATTACGCGAGTTGTGTCGTAGGTGGTGGGTGTTGAGCCTGATGCGGTACCACTACGCGGGCAAGATACACGGCCTGAGGCGGTACCATTACGCGGGACCTGAAGTGTTGTTATGAGTTAGTTGCAGTGAACCTGAGGCGGTATTACTACGCGGGTCACTGGCGAGTTGAGAATGAGATAGTCGCAGTGAACCTGAGGCGGTACTATTATGCGGGTCACTGGTGAATCAAGTGTGAGATGGTCGCAGTGAAACTGAGGCGGTACCATTACACGGGTCACTGGCGAATTATGTGGAAAGAATGTGAGGAGGTCGGAACGAATGCATGAAATGCAATTAGAACGTGCATGTGATTGGAAATGGTGTTGTTGTGACTAACGTGCAGGTTGCACGCTGGAAAAGCCCAGGTAAGCATAATTGTGTGCCTGCTATGTGATGGCTGAGTGTGTGATTGTATTTGTGATTGTCTGGAGGTACGTGATAGCCTAGGTGGGGTTTAGGGTGTGTGTTTACTGAGATGTATTCTCATGGTTATTTCAACCGACAATTTCAGAACCACGGCCGGAGCAATGAATCCCCCACCGCCACCACCAGAACGTTTTGGAGTACCAGTGCACACCGATCATAGCGTTGTAGAATACCCTATAGACGAAAACATGACCTGAGTTAAGCATACGACGGTGGTTTGGGTAGACGTAAGACTACCCCTCTGGCAAGCCAACACATACACCGCTTGGTTCTTTCGGGACGGGATAGATGAGTTTGGTCCCGTTCGTGGATTTGACGTCCCTTTGATGGAGTTGGGGACTGGGACCCGTCTGCCATACCTCCTCCCGACGGCGAGATGACTAGTTTGGAGACTAGTCTAGCGCAGTCCGGACAGCAGCAAGCGCCTGCAGCACCTGAGCCTTCGGGGGCCGAGCATGAGCCAGAGCCTGAAGAATCGCAGGCGGGGTACGATCCTATGGACGTGGATCTCGAGGCGATCCCAGAGGAAGAACCGGAAGAGGAAGAACCCGAGGCAGAACCTGAGGATGAGCCTGAAGAAGAACCGGAGTATATACCCCCGTATGAGCAATGGATTGACCTTGAATTTGTGCCAGAGTACGGGTCCGATGAGGAGTCAGAAGAGGAGGAGCGGGACGAGGTTCCAGCGGAGTCGGGTGACATAAACCACTCGATCGAGATCGAGGCCGAGCCGGAGTCCTCGGAGGAGCAGACAGTCCAG